TATATATATATATATATATATATATATAATATGGGAGAGCACGACTGTGTGTTTTTTTTCTCGCGGATAGCTAATATGACTTCATTGGTGTCTGTGTTGACACCTTTCCATCGACTTGATCATCCTCCTGTTGGGGACGTTTGCTGAGCTTTTTGATATATAAACTTTTTTTGTTACTATTTCTTTATCTCTTATTAAAGCGAACTATTGAGTTGGGAGAGAATCCGTAGCAGCATCAGGAGCCGCGTCTTGTTGCTTGCTTCCCCGGGAAGAAGCATCACAGATTCAATTACTATTTTTTTTCGATCAGATACCCGATTGAAAGGGGCTTAGTGTGGAGGGGAAGGAAAACTCTCATACTCTCTCTTTTATCTGTACCGTCTCACCAACGCAACGAGTGGAGAAATGTCTAAGAGCAGCAACAGCAGCGGTAGCAGCGCCACCACCGGCGGCAGCGGTGGCTTTGGGACCCCAACTATGCTTGGCGTGCAGTACTCCTCCGAGGATGCGCGCAGCATCTACCAGAAAGTGGGGACAATCAATGGCTACACGTTCGAGGTGCCGCCCGTTAACCGGTTCCACAGCAAGAATGCTGAGTCGAAGTTCGTGCAGCTCACTGGATCTCTCAACCCGCGCTTTGAGGCCGAGCGCTTCGACAGCCTCCGCGAGCGCTTGCAGCAAGCAGACAAGAAGGGCAAGGACAGTCATCTGCAGGCCATTGCAGTCCTATACGCGGAATTTCTTGGTAACAGCTTTTTGAAGGCAAAGAATGTGGACTACGCAGAGATAGAGCGGTGCTTCTACCCATCTTATCTCCCACAGTATGTCACGGCGCTGCAGGCTGTAGGGCTTAAAAAGCCGCTTTGGTGGCGGCAGGGTCTGTTCGCGTCTCTTGAAGACATCTCACGGCTGCCGCTTTCCAGATGCAGTGTCAAAAAGGAGGCTGCGATGAGTTTTGAAGAATGGTATTGTCTTTTCTGGAACTACTACACCCCTTTTAACACCTTGGCGTACCTAATGATGGTTACGGCGCAGTCCACACTCCTGAACAAGGAGCTGATCGAGAGTGTCGCCGACTACATTGCCCACCGCCACGCGCTTATCGAGGATCCAGTGGCGAAAAAGGCACCCATTTTGTTTATGGGCTCACGCACTGGGAAGATGGGAGCGCTGCTAAACAAAACCGGGAAGATACCTGTGCCGATCATTCATGTTCATGAGAAACCCAACATGAACCCGTACCTTCTCGTCATACCGCCACAAAAACAAGACGAGTTCAAACCGCATCCCATCATAAAGATGAAGGATCAAGTTGCGTTAGAAAAGTACGAGCCCGCCATTGTCTTGATGTCGGACATGATGATGAACAACGACCCGACGGCCATGATTCGGCGCATAGGTTCGGTGCGAGAGTACATTTATTTTGGAACACCAGACAGCTACGTTGAGGGCCACCCGTGGGAGACGTGGGGACATTTCAAATACCGTGAGAAGGGGGCTGACCACATCCCGCCATTCATGCGGGAGAACTGGCTGAAGGTCTCTCTTCCACACCTTTCGCGCTGGATGATTTATAAGACAGATGGTGACATGCAAATGGGTAATGGAGCCGTTACGACATGGATGCGGCGCCCGTTGCAGCCATCTATGAAGGCGAAATGGAACTGGCGCTTTGCGCGTCTCAAGCCGTTTTATTGACGCCGAAGACCGATGGAAAACAATGAAATGAAGGGGTAAGTGGGAACAAGAAAGGCATCTGTTTCTTTCTTGTTGTTGTATTTTTTTCTTCGCCGGCACAAACCTTGGTTGTTGTTGTTGTTGTTGTTGTTGTTTCGCCCTTTGAGGGAAAGTTGACGATAGTGACGAGGCGAATGGTGTCACTGTCATTTCTGCTGCATTGTTTGTTTCTTTTGTCTTTTTGTCCTTCTTGTTGTTGTTGTTTTTTGGGTTTGATTTCTGCTTAGCGCTCGCTCAATCGATCGATCGCATTCGTTAGGGCAGAGCACTCTTCACGCTTCCTCAAAACTGAGGTGTGCGGGTGTGCTCTCTCTCTCTCTCTCTCTCTCTTTTGCGCCCACACTCTCGGAGGCTTGCCGCTTATTTCTACTCAAACGTAGGCCATGAGTGGATTGAGGCGTGAAGATGAGCGTAAGCTGAAGGAGCTGAACGATCTCTGCGAGCGCGTAGGTCGACGGAATCTCCCGGAGGACGACCAGTTGTGTATGTTGTACCTCGAAGACCGCTACAATCACTTCCTGGAGGAAGGAATGCGAAAGCTCCGCAGCGAGTGCGACTTCAGTCGTCCGAAAGGTATCGGGCAGCTCTTCACGGGCGCATCTAAGATGAATAGCTCACGCCGCGGCCACCGCGAGCGTAACATCGCCCCAAACAGCAAGAACACCACAACGGGGACCCGCAGCGGGGGCGTCGTCAAGCCCGTTCCAGCTGCTCTAGAGCACTCCTCCGCGGCGTCGTCACGGGAGACTCTCGGGAAACTGTGGACGTGGGTGCTCGAAGACGTCGTGGTGGGGGGCATTCCGCGCGCGGGTCCCCATGAAGACGGTGCCGGTCACCTTCTCGAGCTTTGGCGACAGTGCCGTGCACGCGGCGGCACAGCTCTCTCCGTGGTATCCTGTCTAGAACTGGACGAGTCAATACCACATGGTTTCGCCGTGTTGAAGGACTGGGAGCAGTTTACCGGGACGGTGGACTACTATTTTGTGCCCTTTATTCCCCCAGAGAAGCAGGAAAATCCCCCAGAGGTGGTAACGGCGGTGCTCGAAGAGCTGCTCACGATCTGTAGCAGCGTTTACAACGCATCGCATTTGCTTAATGGTAAGGATGAGGATACATGCAAGGGGATAGCCTGCAGGAAGCATTCCTGTCCCTTGCTACACATTGGCGGCAGGAAGAAGGGCTCGTTCAAAAACGCTGGGGAACATCGGATTGTGTATATAATGTGCAAAACAGGTCATACCAGGGCGTGGGTGTTCTCTATGGCTTATTTGATTAGCCAGTACGGCATGGAGTACAATGAGGCGGATCAGTTCCTCCGCCAGCTAAGGGCATTCGAGCCAAGCTCAGCTCAAGTGGAGTTTGTCTTGAAGTTTGCAGAATACGCGGCAAATCCGCGACGTACGAGGAAACCAACAGAGGAAGAAGAAATGTACCACAAGGTGCTGGCGCAGGTTCTATCACTGCCACCTTCCTACCGAGAGCGTCTCTTGTGCGATTTGGAGGAGTTGACATAGTGGAGTGGATGTGTTAAGGTGTATATGTTTTTTTCGGTTCTTGTTTGTTGGCAGTTAGCTGACAAAAAAAAGGTGTGTTTTGTGTTTAGGGAAGAAGCCACAAAAAAGGCTTTGCAGCGACACGAGCACCCATCTCATTTTGAGCGGCTATTGCGGATGTTTTTTTTTCTATCTTCGTTTGCATGAATGCGTTGATCAATCGTGCGTACCTCGCCCTCGCACAATTCATCGTTAATAATAATAATAATAATAATAAACGGATTGAATTGATTGCATGAAGAAAGGACGAAGGAAACAGAAAAGGAATGTCCTCTTCAACGCCTCTGCGCGGAATGATGGCATTCACGACAACAGCCGTGGCCCAGTCGTTGGTCTCCACGGTCAATGCGAACAACAACTTGGGCCTTGCGAATCAGGGAACATGGACGCAGAAGTCCCCGCAGCAGCAACTCTGCCCAGAAGAAGAAACGCTCTTCAAGACGTTTCGGCAGGAGTTCTTGGCATCACGGCAGGTGCAGCAAGCCCTTTTGTATTCATTTCCAGTGGGGCGCTGTGGCGCAAAGAACCGCACGTCCCACCGATGCGTGCTGTTGCAGCGTCGGGAAACTCCCCCTCTCGTCGGCTGCAAGGACAGCTTTTTTTACTACATTAACTTTGATCAGGTTTACACAGAGGTCGATAGCCTCTTCAACGAGACGCATCAGTGGTGGGTAACTGCCACAAGAGGTCTGCGAAGGAACGGCAAGGGTGAGGGTGTTGTTGCTGTGGCCGACCCTGAAGTACTCCTCATTGTGCTCTCTCCCACACAGACAATGACGAGGGAAATATCAGGGGGCATGCTGCCTTCTCTTGTGAGGCTTGCGTCTGATAATGTGAATGGAGAGGAGTCCAAGGGCAGTATTCGCGTCTGTGGGTTTCCTCCCCGCGTCAGATTTGGTCTGTCACTGCAGCAACTGCAGCAGCTCTCGTTGAGTTGTCCTGGTGAACCAAGGACAACTCAGAGGAGTGAGGGCGATTGGTTTTTCGTCCCGTCGGAGGAAACCGTTCTCTCGCAGGATGGGTGCAGTGTAGTCCTCGTTTCTAGCGATTTCATTGCGCACTCTTTGTTTTTCCTGGAGTGGTGTGTTCCAGAGGACTTTCCTTGGTCACCGCGGCGGCCAAAATTGGTGGGATGGGGCTGTGACGTGCTAGGGAAACTGCTGCGGGGTATTAGCGAGCACCTTGCTGCTGATGTTGTGGGAGCTGCAGATGAAGACAATAACGACAGCGTAGGTGTGACAAGGCGACGCCGATCCGAGCACACTGATGCCTTTGTGGACATCGTTCCCGCCGCTGGCACTCTCGAGGCCATGGGATCTGTCGAGGCTCTCGATTCTACGAGGCGGGACGACGACATTCATTTCGTGAAAACGGTCTGCGCGGCGGCCTCCACACCGCGTCGCGAGCTCGCTGTCAAGGCGTTGCTAGCCCATCTTGACATGATCGGTGAGGCTCACATGAGTCTCGAATTATGCCAATGGGATGGAGCCGCTGCAGGTGCGGCCGAGAGAGTAGCTCATCCACCACTCGCTGTGGAGCTAGTGGGACGAGCTGCGCAGCGTTTAAAGGAATTGGTGGACCAGCAGCGGAACCAGATTAGCTCCTCTTCCTCAGGCAGCTATCATAATGTGCCCACTCACGTGGGTAATGAAGGCGGCACAAAAGGGGGCCCGACACCACTGTTCGTGGAGGTGCTCCAACGACGATTCGCCGTCGGTGGTCTACGGAGATTGAGCCGCTTCTACCTAGCGAAAGACGGGGAAAAACTTCTGGACGCACCGTCTATAGGTGATTTGGGTGCTCAGGGGCTGCAAGACGATGCAGCTGAGCTCGCAGATGTGGCTGAAGTGGCATTTGAACTCAATGAATCTGCAAGATTCGAAGGTGGTGTGGGCACGAGTAGCCGCAGTCCTGCAGGTAGGCTCCCACGCGGTCCGCTGCGAAGCATTCTGGAGGCCTCATTTACCTCGTATGTCTCGTCAACTGCTGACGTCCACAAAAGGAATAAAGGCGATGGGGTCACTGCGTGCAGGGATGGCCCAGAGGAATTTCTGGCCGAAGGCAACGGCGGCAAGCATTCCGGTATTGAGGCGATTCCGCCGGTGATTGTTGGCAGTGCCTTCCTTCAATGCATGGAACGCCTCAATGGGGACGCGCGTGACAGGAGCAAGCATCCCAGATATATTCTGGAGGAAATGATGGAAGGATTCTGGAGTGCCCTTGCAGAAGGGCTCGCGACTGATAAAGGAGGAGGTGGTGGTGTTACAGTTGGCAACGGCGGAAGCAGTAGCGGCGATGGTGGCGGTGCGTCTCCTGTTAACGCTAACACTCCTCATGGAAGAGATTTGATGCGACTGCGTCTGAAACGCACAGCCGGCTGCGGGGGAGACACGGCGGCAGAGGTGAGCAGAGGGGAACTGTGGCTTAGGCACGTTGCCTTTCTCTTTACTCACGCTTCGGTTTCGGGGGCTGCGCTGAGTCCTCTGTCTCTGCCTCTGCCGGTGCAAAAGACATCACGGACGATTGAAGAAGAACGCAATTTGCGAGTCGTCCGAGGACTTGAAGCGCACCTCTTCTTCTTTGATGCTGTGCTCTGTGCCGCTGATAGCGCCGTTTTGACGCGGTGGATTCAAGCCCGCGAGGCTCTAGAGAAGAAGAACCCCGTGAAGATGTGAGTGACAGAGTAGTCTGTGTATGTGCGGGTATGTTTGCGCGTACACTAACATCGATGAGCAGCAGCGGCGGTCAACGCTGCGCCAACAGAAGTACAACAGAATCGAGACCATTGCTTTTCGTGGGAGATCGGGGTATGTTGTGTGGTTTTATATATTTTTTTGTTTTCTTTTTACTGAAAATGGGAGTGAGTTGGGGATCACACAGACCTCGCAAACGTGATCTGCATCGCAGTCTTGTCGACGATGCAGAGTGAAGAGGGTAGAGTTTTTTTTTTTCTTGCACTCTTGGTGTGTGTGTGTGTGTGTGTAGCATCCCTTTATCTTATGCTCTGTTTATTATTATGGTAGAAAGGGGGTGTGTGGTGGAGGTGCAATGCGCCGCGTAGCCGTCGCCCGTTACGTGAGCTGCCTGGCGCCGCTGTTTTCTTGCGGTGTTCGCCTGCCGGCGCGTGTGTGGCTTTCGTCGCAGAGCAAACCGGGGCACTCCGACGACGATGCGCTTGGCGCTGAGGACCCGTTCAAGGCGGTGGGAGAGGCCCTGAAGCAGCAACAGCAGGGGCAGGCAGCGAAGGAGAAGCAGGTGCTTCCGGATGAAATCGACCCGGTCGCGTCAGCAGTGAACCGGCGACGCAATCGCCGCAAGCGCAGCGTGGATTCCATCTTTGGCGACGTCCTCCACGAGGCCCTGAAGCTGCGTGACATGGGACACAAGCCCGACGCGGACTTTGTGTACAAGCGCACGCAGGAGCGCATGTATGAGGAAGAGTACGGTCACAAGCCGCCAAGTGCAAAGGACCATGCGGCGAAGTATATCCCGTTTCCGCCAGACCTCAGCCTCAACCGCCTCCTTCCGCTGGAGGAGATGGTTGGCGACGACCCGTGGCCGGAACGCGCCATCACCGCTCAGAACCCCGTTTGGACGCAGAAGCAGGTGGAAGAAGACCGTATAGCGAACGGTGGCGCCAAACTGCGGGCGTGGGAAAAGTCGATGTTTGCTCCTCGCGACGGCTTCGACCCTACGGGGGAGTTCATGGACGCCATGGACGAACTGGCGTACTGGGAAGAGCGCTTCGTGAAGTTTATCAGGGAGGCACCGCTATCGCAGCGTCGAACGCTGCCACTCCTGCACGAACTCTATCGGTACATCACTCACCGACTCATACGGGCGGAGCGACGGTACATTGGGACGCGGGACGTGGCTTTGTCGAAGGCTCACGCCTCACCATCGGTGTACAAAATGACAGAAGGCAACGTCGATCGCATCCGTGCGCTCTACGCGGAGACGCACCGCTCCCTGTCAAGCCCCAATTACGACCCTGCACGCATGAAGAAGTCGGCGACCGGGCCGTTGCTTCAGATGAGTGAGGCCGAGTTTGCGGAGTGGCGGAATGTCAGGAAGCATCAAAGGAATCGACTCGTGGCGGAGATCGTGTAGCGAGAGAAAGGTGGCTACCGTTTTTGTGAGTGTGTTTGTGGGGATGGGGGTATTTTTGTTGGCTTCCTGCGCTCGTTGTCATGCCTCCTGGCCCTACAGAGGGAAGTGGAATGATTGTGTGGGGACTTACACGGAGCTCATACCAAAAGAAAATTGTTGTTATCTCCTCCTTTTTTTACCTCACCCTCTCACACACACTCTCTCTCTCCCTATATATATGCTGATCTTTTTTGCTGCTAGTTGCGGTCTTGGAATAGGGACTAGAGGGGGTGGGCGATGAGGCGCGCCGTGTCGCTTTTCCACCCAACAGGAGTCCTCCGCGGCAGACACGCGTTAGCGCTGCGCCCCACGCGTGCGCTTTACATTCCCCCACAGCTGGCGCGCCTCCTCGTTGCAGGGGGCCTGTTGCTTTTTCAGGCCTTTATCACGGCCCACGAACGTGAGGCGCAGAAATTACGGGAAGAAACACAAGGAACAGGCACCACCACTGGCGGCGGCTCTGCTACTTTGATGTCATCGTCAGAGGCGCTGCAGATTCTCGGTCTTGACAGACGTCTCTCTCTTCCGCTGGGGGACGAAGCGGACCGTCAGGAGGCGACGCGGCGTTTCAGGCGTCTTTTCGCCATTGCAAAGGAGACTAATAACGTGTACCTCGAGGGAAAGTTTAGCGCGGCGTACAGACTGTGCGTCGACCCAGAGTGGGATGCGGCAGATGCTTCATCTGACGGAGGCAGCAACAACGCAGCCAGCAATAACGGTGTGAAGGGCTGATCTGTCTCCTCCATAAATGATTGCTTGCTTGTTTGCTTTGGTTGAGGTGTGGTTTTGAGATGCGTCGTCGAACTAAGGTGTCATTGTATTCCTACTGGGCCTCTGTTCGTCTATTTTGCTGTTGTTTTCCCTGTGTTCGATTATTTTGTTCCGTTCCTCTTTGTTCTGTTTGCTCTCGCACGTCTTGAATCGCAAAGTACTATACAATCATCCCGTCGTTGCTTGCCGTGCTCACCGCACCCGTACGCCAAGGCGATGGAGGAGGTAGTGGGGCCGTCTCAGGAATCCGGAGAAGTCCTGTCGCCGCCCAGCAATCTCCTTCTCGAAGATTTAGGCAGCCTTGTTAGCCTCCTGGGACACAAGGAGGACGATATCGACGCCTTCGACAAAGGGCCGTCGACACCAGATGACGTATTGACGAGTATGCAAAGTATAGTGGAGCGATACACGGCGGCCATGAAGCAGCACAGCATGACCCGTGTGATAGGATGCACGGAGCTAGAGGTGGAGGTTCGCAACCTGCTCTCAGCGAAATCGCAAGCAAATAAGGAAGACTTGATTCTTTCCCTTGTGCAGTTAATGGAGGAGATCCGCATTCTCTTAGAGTATCAGCCCCATAACTCTCACGCACATCCGCCGGGTCCTCAGATTTCACTCGCAGTACCACTACAGCAACAACAGGAACAACAGGAAGAAGCACAAGATGAAAGTGTGTGTGATATTCCAGTGACACCCAGCATGCGTAGTGTGGTGCGGCCGCCTGTTTTTGAAACCGACAAGTTGTCTCAAGGCGTTGATGCAAATGGCCGAAAGCTCATCAACCGTTACACCATTTTGGGAGACCTAGGGTTTGGTGGACATGGTAAAGTGAAACTAGGGGAGAACTGTGAGACTGGCGCCAAAGTAGCAATAAAGGTTATCAAGAAGAAGCAATTTCGCTCAAATGGTCGCACTCATGAATCGAACTTGTGGCGCGAGATACGCATTTTGAAAAATGTTCGTCATCGTAATTGTGTGGCTCTCCTGGAGGTCATTGATGATCCCAAGTCGGGTTTCCTCTATCTCGTCATGGAGTACATACCGAATGGCCCCGTCGTGAAAATTGAGGAACACCCTGTCGGAAGCTTGGAGCGATTCACGAACGCATACTTGCTGGAGCATGTTCAACGGAATAACAAAGTTGTGTGCTGTGAACCACTCCCGGAAAGTCGTTGTGCGGACTACTTCTGGAAGCTCGTGAGTGGACTACGGTACCTGCACAAACACAAGGTGGTGCACCACGACATCAAGCCCGACAACATTCTCTGTGGCTACGGCAACCAGGTGTACATCTCTGACTTCAGTGTTAGCGAAATGTTGGTCCGGAACGGCTCCAAAAAGATCGGCGTCCCGACGCGCTACGGTGCCGGCACGCCGATGTTCGCCGCGCCCGAACACTTTCAGCAATTGGACGGCGATAAGCCGAACCCATTTCTCTCCGACGTGTGGGCGCTCGGCGTCACACTCTACTTCATGCTCGTCGGCGTAGCACCGTTCAACGGTCAGACATACTTCGAGATGATGAAGGAGGTGATGCACGAGCCGTTCCCGTGGAATGGGCGGAACGCCTACGGCAAGCAGCTCAATCCGCGCTGGAAGAAAATTCTTGACGGCATGCTGGAGAAGGACCCGCACAGGCGTTGGAGCCTGGAAGCGCTCAAGAAATTCCTTAAAGAAGACAAGAGGCGGGAGAGCGAGTCGCTGGCAGAGAGGGAGCAGCAGTGGAAACACAACGCCGGGGGAAAAGAGTTGCCCGCGTGCAGCACTCCGGCGACCGAGTCGTGTAGTGGGATGAAGCAAGGGAAGCAGCACCAGCAACAGCAGCAATTGTCGAAGAGTGTGCTGAGCAACGAGGTCGTAACCCTGCCGAGCCCCTCTAAAACCAACAACACTGGCTTGATGCCCTTTTCCCATCGTTTCCTCCACTTCGGCCTGCATGGCGCTAACGGGATGAAGAAGAGGGCATAGCTGACTCGTGTATTTTTTTTT